CCCTTATGCAAAGCCAACGTGGCATTTAACAAACTCATCGAACTTGGTTTCACTTATCTTAAATCTGAATATCCGCACGTCCCCGCGATTAATTTTCTAATCGTGAATTCTTTGCATAAATGGGCCCATTAATCGTTTTGGAGAATATGCCTTTTATGGCTTTAACGGCTACTTTATTTTTCGTCGTTGCAAAGATAACCCTCGAAAATATCCATTTGTGTATAGGATATGGCTCTTCCTGTGGGACGTAAAGCAAAAAAATGCCGATGAAACAAGCACTCGTGAAACCAAGATCAACACTACGATCTTACCACAAAAATGAGTTCCCGTGATGTTAACTATGAAACGGAGGCAAAATATCATTAACATGATAACTGAATTCGAATCAATCAATGGATCTATCTCAATGCTCCAAAATTAAATCAATCGATATTATACCGTTATCCAGGCACGAAGTGTCATTTCTCCCGAAATAATTGAGCCTACCGAGGAAGCAGAACAATCCAACGATTATTTTCAGATGACTTCAGAAATCTGGAACCAATTTAAAATTATTTTCGATAGGATTATGACAGAAAAAAGCGTGTTCTTTAGATGATATGTGTATGCGATTCGCATACATTATTTAGCAGACATATTTTTTTATTCATAACAAGAACACTGTAAGCAATACTCCGGCCGGAGATTCTGATCAACTGAATCCAACGAAAATTTCATGCTATTTGTTTCACCCATCTGTTTCATCCATCAAATTTTCTCGTCTTTGTCTAGAAATAAAAATTCCTACGTTAGAATGCATTTACTACCAACTTATTGTGTAAAGATACGAACCTAAGACTATCCACTAGCTCCTTAATGACCGGTCCAAAAATATGCTCCATATTACGATCATCAACAATAATCACAAGATCCCCATATTCATTGAACCGAAACAATTCTGGTCTTTTACTACGTCTATGAGGAAGTTCCACAGAAACATAAATATGTTTTCGATTCTCAGTTGAGGTTTTGATTTTCTCATGATTCTCTGCACGCTCAGAGACATTAGATATCCGGTATTTCTCGATGTTTTTAGTGTAGTCCAAATCATAATCTACATCATCAAAGTTTAAATATTGTCCATAATCTTCCTCTTCTAAGTCACCCTCATCCTCTTCTGAGTCATTCTCTTTGGCCGTGGTATCATCGGGAATTACATCAAGACCTGTTTGGAGACGTGTTCTTTTTTTACAAGGAGAAAATTCCACAATTTCAGAGTTTTTTCTCCTTCTCGGGCATTCCATATACTGAAATTTCATACATGACTTGATTAACTGTTTTTTAATCTTGTCTCGCTTAATAGGACTTCCAGAAACTGTACAGCTTGCTGATAACAGTACTATATTTTGCTTATCATCCACAAGAGAAATCACCAAGTCCGATCCTGAATAGGTGTCTGGTTGGATTGCGTAATAACTATAAGTTTCATCTTCAACATATTTGGCTATAGGAACTGCTTTTGATAGATTTGAAATTGTTACAAATTTCATCGTGGGAGTGATCCATGAAGGAAGGTCAAATTGTTGACCATTTTTCCACCTGTTAAGTTCCTCTCGCGCATTAATCCCACGTTTTTGAATGATTGCTGTAATAAAGATTGCATCAAATTCATTACCAATTGATGGAATGCCATCAAGCCTGATAATTTCATCAATAAAGACTTCTACCAAAGTTTTTCTTCTTGTGTTTTTAAGAAAAAGTTCTATGCTGGAGACGAGGTAAGATTCAAGTGATGTGTTGATTTCGATTATATCAGGAGTAAGTTTACTAGATCCAAGAGTGATGCATTCTGGTGATTTGCAAGGAATGATGCTGTGTTGAAGAAGCTTTATGGCTGATTCGTACTTTCGATTGTAAAAAACACGAAGCCTAAGAACATCTATAATTGCTCTATCTGGATTGAGGTTATTAGCATCCAAATATTTACACGCATTTTCCAAATAATCTGCCATATCCTCGCAAATCATTTTATACCACTTCTCAATAAGTTTAATAATTTCTTGGTTTTTTTGATCTTTCGTTCTATTAACTGAAATCCGCTCTGATATCAACAGCCTAACAAATGATGCACAGTTTCGAGGCCGTCCCTTGAGAAGACATCCCAATAAGTTAAGAATTTTGGGTGAAACATCTGTCAGGTCAATTACAGCATTGAGACTCCGCAGGACATCATTATGTGAAAGGAAGGGAAGCTTTAGCACAATATGATCCTTCAAATCTCGTTTTTTTCCAACACTAGTAACAAGAGAAATTCCGCTTGACATATGCATGTAAGTACCGGCAAGAAGGCAGGTAACGGGAAGATTGGTAAGATGTTCAATGTAAGACTGTAAGAGATTCCATTTTTTGTTTGGAACTGAGCTCCCTTTGTATTCTCCATATTCAGATCTACATAGGACTTGCGCCTCATCAAATATTAAGGTTAGAGACTCTACGTTGAGACAATCATTGATACTTTCGATAAGTGCATTAACATTAAAAGTATCATAATTTTCACGAGCCAATTTCGTTCGGATCTTAGAATCATTCGTTCGAAGCTGTGAAAACAGCCATTCTTTTGGCGTCAAAGTATTTTTCTCGATGAGCGTCTTTATAAGTAAAAGTCCGCGTGAGAGTATTACCCCGTCCAGCATGCGAAATACATGACGTTGCAGATCATGCTGTTCAAACTTTGGTTGTTCATCTTTGATTGTTTCAAGCTCTTTCCCTACATGGTTGCCATACGTTCCTGCGCCGGGAGAAAATTCAATATATATTGACCAACGTTGCATAGCTATTCCAAACGTTGTCGATGTTTTTCCACCACCTGAAACTCCGGCAAGCACAACTATGTCTCCAATATTATTTTCGATCTTTTCTTTCACAAAAGAAACTGCTTCTTTGAATTGCTGATCATCATAAAAGGGATTATGATAGTTCACTGTTCCAGATTCATAAGAAGGGAGACACAGATCAACTGTTGTGAGAGTTTTTTGGGTTATACCTCGGGGTAATCGTGCTTTGAAAAAGGAGGGTTCCGCCTTCAGTTTAACATACGGGTCATTTTGTGGGCTCGGAGAATCACATTTCCCTGTCTCAATGTTCCAAATCAAGGCGAGCGCATAAACAAGCTGGTCAATTGAAAATTTATCTACGTTTGGGAAGGCCTTTATAACTAAAAAACAAGAGTGGACGTGAGCAAAAAATCATTTAAAAGAACTAAGCTTCTAGCGCGACGAACCTTTGTTTTTAATTTCAATTTTAACCTCGTCAGAATGGATGTACGAAACTAATGCAGTGAAATAAAAAGAAATAAAACACTTGAGATCCGCCTGCCATTGTCGATCGCAGACTTAAGCTATAAAAAGATATCTTTGTTCGTGTGATAAACCATTAGGAGACACTTACCAATGGTGACAGGACGTGCGATTATATGGATGATTTCATCCGGAGGTGTGTATCCTTCTGGAAAAAACTTCCTAAACTTACTAATATTGCTCATTTCCCTACCTCCGAGCTGTTCAATTTCAGTTTTGGTAAGAGAATTATTAAGTTTTTCCTGAGGAACTTCAACTTTCCAAAGTACTAGTTCATTGTAATCCTTGACATTCTCCATATCACGCCATTTCCTTATTCTATTCCATATCAGTTGCTTGAGATGATCGACAGTGAGATTGTTAATAGAAACGTCATGACTATCGGAAATTTTATTTCTTTCGCAAATATCAACTGATAAAGTACACCCGGAACCTACAACAAAACAGAATAATACTATTTCGGCCATATTTCTGAAAATGCAAAAATCAGAGTTAAAAACAAAGGTTGAAACCAATTTTTTAGTAAAATATAAATAATGACCTTAGCCGACGACCGTTTGAATAAATTGACATTTCGATTCGTATTCGTATTCGTAATATATGTTATAAACTGCGGGGAGAACTGCGGGTATAAACTAATCCAAAAATGTTAATATGAAAAAAGAGTCAAAAAATTCAAAAATTCTCGGTCTAGGTATTTTATATAACATATGACAAATTACACAATTTTTCGGTCATAGATCAGTTTTAACGAAATAAGGCAAGTTTGATCGACAATAGGAAGTCTATTACGAAGGCAGTCACGAGAAGAGGTGTATCCACATGTATATATTTTTTCGTGTCACCGGTGCAAGTGTTTCAAATACGAGCCTAACCTTTACTTGATAATATTTTCGATGGAGGTATCTCAATCAACATTTTTTTTATTTTTTTTTGAATTCACGTGCGGAGAGTATACATACGTACGTATATTATAAGTATCGATGTATACTGAAACTAATGATATCATCGCTGTAGAATCAATACTGAAATTAACGATAAACTTACCGCGGAAATCGCAAACATCAACACACGTGATGCCAACTACACTACGAGAGGCGCAGAGAATTTTAAGAATGATCGATAATATAACCGAGAGACTCAATTCAATTTAAGCAAATTTTTGATCAGATCATGTCCGAAAATAATTATACTTTGGAGATGTGTCTTTTTGTAGCTATGGACATTCATTCATTGGGAGGAAATATTAAGAAGGCGACGGTAAAAGGGTTTTATGAGAGAAATGTTAAAAAGAAGAATGGTTATATTAGTACTTTAGATCAAATTGGTTTATGGATTGATAGTAAAACAAATAACCTAAGT